CCACTTCTCTAGATTAAAAATTGATCATTCAGTGTCTATATCTATTCAGTCCTTGAGCTCTCTAACTAGCATACCAGTTGGTATTCAGCGATGACAATATTTGTCACTTAAGCACTACAGAGACTATCAGGTTTTTATTCATACGGAGGTCGCTGAACAGCTATCTAACAGTAACAACTTTCAGTCCCAACCCAACTAATGTGCATTCAAACCACTGGTCTACAAATGAAAACTTCCATATCCTATTATTGGTCCCTTGACCCATCTAATCAAGGATTCAAGAACAGATCAATCATTTTTAAGCCCAATGCTCAAGAGTTTCAATACCGTATAAGAAATACCATGTAAGAATCAGGAAGGATCAGTAAGGCAGAATAGATTAGGACATCAGCAATAGCAGGTGTACTTCACAGCTGATTGCTGCTGGCTGACTGCCTGCTTGCCACTAGGAGACCACAATTAGCACCCAGTGAAGGATGTGAAGATAAGATGTATTCAGCTCCCTCTATCAACCTCTCATGAAGGTCACATTGTGACTGAAGGGAAAGGCAGCAGGCAGACTGCCTCAGAGCTAGGAACCAATTTGACACAGAAGGTCATATGTTGGAAGGTACATAAAAAGCCACTGTGGTTTCAGCATGCCTCTCCTCTCAGTTTCTCCAGTCATCACCAGTGAATGAGCTGGGAGTCACTCTTAGACAATACTGGCATTTGTATCATCTGTGTTACAGAGCCTTGTGGTTGTATTGTTTGTGGGAAGCCCAAAGTAATATAAGCATTGCTGGCAGCTGACTGAGTAACACAGCTCATCACACCACTGCCACCAGCGAAAAAGAGAGATCCAGGGAAGGGAAAAAAATTATACTGGTTAAATTATACTTGCCCTGCACTAGCTGTTGAAACTGTTTTGTGTATCCAGTCCTACCCTGTGGTAGGTGGAAGCTTAACTGTCGTGGCTTAGTTTTGGTTCATTCAAAGGTTGGGTTGCCTAGTTTAGATTCCACTTACTGCAGGATAGGAGCAGACACATGAAACAGTTATTCCAGAGTGGTTGACATACTATAAGCTCCACCCCATCCCACGCCTCTTCACTTGAGATCACTAAAACTAGACTAACTGTACCCTAACAGTGATAACATGGAAGCTACAAATAAATCTGTTTGATTCTGGTGAGAGACACCCCTCTTTGTCTTCAGAAAGGATACAGAATAGGCGCCACGAGAGCAAGAATGTTAAGGAATATTCATAGCTTGGGGAAACTAAAAGGGAGAGCCTGGTAAGGACTAGGTTTGGACTAAAAAGAGAAGGGGAGGAACTGTCTGTTTTACGGGCGAGAGCCTGGAGTGGCTGTGGGGGGACCTGAAACATGGAGAGTTCCTCAGTTTTAGAGCATGAGTCTCAGGCTTTGGACACACGTACTTCTGTAGCACTATATAAACTTTTATAGCACTACAGAAAGCAAGTGGTATGTGTAGGCTACTTGTGCTACAAAGACAGTGGATCTGCCACAACAGAGTTTGGGTTTCAAACAGGAACTTTTTTGTAGCGCCATATGTAAAGTGCATGGTTATATAGGATCACAGGCATAGGTGACACGTAGGGGAGGCATGGGGTGGCACGTGACCTCCCTGGGATTGGCCCTCACTGGCTGGGGAGTGGGGAGTGCCAGCAGCACTTCCAGTGTTGCTACTGGTGCTTCCAGGGTTGGCGATCGGCCGCTGGGGGACCGCTCCCCGAAGTTGGCGGTCAGCCGCTGGTGCCCCCCCACAGAGGCAGAAGGCACCAGTCGCCCATGAACAGGAAAGTAGGGCTGGAAGGGACCTCATGAGGTCATTTACTCCAACTCCCTGATTAAACCATCCCAGCCAAATGTCTGCCTAACTTGCTCTTGAAAACATCCAAGGATGGAGATGCCACAATTTCTCTAGGAAGCATGTTCCTATGAGTGGCCACCCTCGTAGTCAGAAAATTCCTCCTAATGTCCAATCTAAATTTCCCCTGCTGCACTTTGAAACCATTAGTCCTGTCCCCTACAATCATGAATGATGCATGCCCCCGGAGGCTGGGGGGCCATGGCGGTGGCAAGTGGGGAGCTTCCACAGGCGGCCGCAGCGGTGTTGGTGGTGGCATGCACCCACTACTCATCGTCAATGCCTACAGTCATGGAGAAAAGCCCATCTCCATCCTCTCCTGTAATCACCTCAGGTATCTGAAGACTGTTACCAAACCTCACCTCAGTTGTAGCATTACAGGGGGTCTCTCAGACTCCCTGCACTCCAGAGGGCTCTGCTGTCCTTCACACCTCTCCAGCCTGTGGGGAGCAGGCTTGCAGAGCAGAGCTTTGACAGCTGCTACAGCAGGACAGATACCTAGGCCCAGGGCAGCAGCTGTGGCTGGCAGGTGCAGCCCCCTGATTGATGCTTGTGGGGACGGTGTGACTGAAGACATCATGCCCTGTTTCCATTATTCGCCCAGGGGCTGCCTCTGCCATCACTGCCTCCAGCTGATGCCTGTGGCAGCATAAGCTAAAGACAGCTTCTCTGCCAAGTCTTACCACCCCTTGGCTGGAAAGGCTACCTTGGAGGCATCTATGTTGCACTCCAGCCAGGGGCAGTGTGCACGTGTGCATAACTCCATAGTGTTCTAGTTGATAGTACTACAACGTGCTCAGACATCCCTGCATCCAATTCTTCAAGTAAGGAGCTTTTAAATCACAAGAAGGTACTGATCTTCAATATACTAGTTTAAACTCAGGCTAAAAAAGAAACTGGGTGACCAGGCACATCTTGAAAAAAGATACTGTCAAACTTGGTACAGAAAATGGGCTCTGTGTCTAAAAAGCTTTGTACCAAATTTCAGCCTAGATAAATTATTTACAAAGCAAGTACTACAATCTGAACATCAGCGATAACAGAAATGCAGATGTAGTCTGAAACAATAGCTTGGATACATCACCAAAGTACTGCTGTTATTGTCATCATCATCAGAATGATTACCATATTTATTAGGCAAAATAATTTCAATTATTATCACCACTAATTTATTATGTTCTTCACTACCTTTGTCATCAATGTCACTCCTTTAATCAGCTCTCATAACTGATTAACAAAGAAAAACAACTGCTCATCAAGAATATTTAAATCAGTTCAGCTCTGCAAATGAAAGATGAAAAATGCTTACAATTCTGACAGAAATTTGTACGCCTCCAGTAACACTGTAATTATTAGTGCTGAATATTTTATTTTTAAAAACGTCACATTTTCCGCTTTCCTCTTCCTCAGAGGCCATTGTGGATTTAGCAGACTACAGAAATGCTGGGTCCCTTTGGGAGGGGGAGAAGCTCCATGCTTCAATAATGATGGAGTTATCCCTCTGCTGCTGGCCCACATACAGTTAGCAAAGGAGGGCCTGAGAGAATATGCAGTTCTTCTGAAGGGTCTCCCAGCCTAGCACGAGGCAGAGGGAAATAAAGTGGAGGAATGGAGCAGCTTCAAGGATTTCTTTCCACTACCAAGTAGAAGGTTTTGAAAGTGACTGTTTTCCCTGATCTTTTTTATTTTACTTCACTGACAGATACTCTAATAGCTGCCTTTCCAGCACACTTTACATAGTGGTCCTTTATTCCTTGGAGGAACACAAAGAGACTATGTAAAAATGTGACCCAAATGAAGAGCCCTTATAATGGCATTGACACATTTGTACACTCTTTTATTTAAGAGTTTAATAAATGTTTGGGTCTGCAGACAGACAGACATAAACATACTATGGTCATTAGCTCTTCTATATGTGTGTAGTTATTAGGACTGTGCGAAGCTTCGGTCGCTGATTCGATTCGGGGGAGATTCGGCCCGATTCACCGGTAGAATCTCCTAATCTAAATTGAATCAGGACACCCTTTAATCTCTCTGAATTAAATTGGAACCCTCAGTTCAGAGAGATTCGACAATTCAGACATAGACACAGCTTTAAATGTTTTTTCTATATACTTCACGGTACCAGGCAGCTCATGAATGCTGAGATGCTGGGGCTCATGGAGCATCCCACGGGACCATGAGGCAGTCTTCAGCATGCTCAGCTGTGGACCCAGAAGTGGACCAGTAGCACTTTCCCCCCCACCTCTGCCCCCTGGCTTGGCGACTGGTGCCTCCTGGGTCTGGGGGGACACCCGGGGTCCCCCCACGGCTGATCACTGAGCCGGAGGAGTGCAGGGGAAGGAGGGGTCCCCTACATGCTTGGCAGCAGACCCACAAGTGGACCAGAAGTACTTCCGGCCAACTTCTGGGTTCACTGCCAAGAACGCAGGGCCTCCCCTCACATGCTCCTGTGGGACTCTCCATCCGCCCCAACTTCTCAGTATTCACGAGCTGCACCTGGTACCTCAAGGTATGTAGAAAAAACATTTAAATTTGTGTCTATGGCCAAATCGCTGATTCTCTGAATCAACATTGAATTTTCAGATTCAGCTGAATCGAATTGGGACATGATCTGAATCAGCGAATCAAATCACTGTCCCCGATTCCAGCTGAATCCGAATCCAAATTGAATATGGCCCGTTTTGCACACTCCTAGTAGTTATGTGGGACAAAGCCCAGACAAGTCTCACTGATAATAAACAAATATTCTCCTTTAGTCCAAAGCTTTCACTTTTGCAGCTCCATGTCCTGTTTAGCAGTAAGGCTTTGGGGCCAAAATCTTTTCTGACATAACTCCACTTAGAAGAATGGAGGTATGACAGCAGAGAATTTTCTCTCTTTTCTTTAGCAGACAGACATTAAAGGACAGTACTTATATAAAGACCCTCGTTTTTACTTAGCAATGTTTTGGTACAAGCTGGGATATGTTCCTTCCCTTCTATGGAATAATTGCTCCCCCCCCAAAAAAAGTGATAGATTTCCAAAACAATAGGCATTTTGCCCATTTGGTACCCTGCATAATTGGAGAGAAGGCAAATATCAATCAAAGGTTGGCACTGCTTCAACAACCATAATAGGATTTCTCACCACAGACATCTGTGCTGCTGTCATCCATTCAGGAGGGATGTGAAAGTGAGCTCCAGCTGAGTCTCCCAATAGAATGATCCCCTTGGACTCCGCACCTAATAGGAAATATTTGATTAAAGGTATAAAAATTCCCTTGGATGTTTGTCACACCATAAAGCAAAGCACTGCACAAGAAATCAACATGAAGATAAAAAGAAGTGATGCTGATAGATTCGGTGTGTTGAGTGCAAACAAGGCACTGGCCACTGGTTTTGTTTGAAATAGCTTCATTTCGAGTCCTGGAATGGAATTGTCACTCCATCTGCACCAAAAACCTGCTGGAAGAGATGTGCCAACAACCTGAGAAAAACAAACGGGTATGCTGGGTGAATAAGAGAGAGAACTTCTTGCTTAATCAGAAAGATTTCATAGAGTTTTACTCAAGGCTGGAAGTTTTGTTTTAACACAGGCTTAGGTGTATAGCTAACATTCATTTTTACTCTCTATGGAACATTCATTAAAATACTTCATATCACTCATTTAGGGAAATGAGAATATTTAGGGAGTTGGTAAAGATGCTTTATATTAACACTAGATGCTAAACTCCTTTCTGAGATGAATAATCTCATCAGAGCACCCTGGCTTTTTACTAATTCATGTTACTTAGCCCTATCCTCCTCCTTTTATAGAACTTTTCATCTAAAAATGTAAAGTGGTTTACCAAGGAGGTTTTCACATCTCAGTCACTAACATAATGCAAGCCAAGGTAGGTATTAACTGAAAGTTATTATTATGGCTGCTTAACTATAATATAATATTTGCATCTGTATGTGTAATTAGCATAAATGAAACAAGTTGATAATTCTCATTCCAAGCGATATGGTTGTCCAGGTGGGCATGAAAACTGAACAGTCCTCTCATTCCTGAAGGGATCCCGACAAAGTAAGCTTGAAGAACATTGTCAGTAGGTCGAGAAGGCATCTCCAACTCCTGCTGTCCTTGCTGGACTTAATTTCGGGGTAGCAAAATTCAAATTCCAGTGCATTCAAAATTAAATATAATAGTTAATATAGATAGGTTATATAATATAACATGTTGTGGAAATCACAAAAAAGGGCATTTTCTGCGATCGCCAGGAAATATTGCATTGGCTGCAATTTCCTGCAAAATCAACCTACCCCCCCACTTCTGTCCCCAGAGTATTATTCATATAATATGCTGTTTTAAAATGTTCCAATGCTTACTGCAATACAAAGAGAATGCAACAATCACTGCACCCATAGATCATATGATTGAGAGTTACTGTCTGCTAGGGATGTAGACTCCAATTTTCCCCTCGCTTATTCTCACATTAAAGAAATGAATTTGCCATTTTTGCCAGTATAAAGAAGCTGCGAAATCTGCCATCTTTTCTCAAGGTTTGCAATGACCATGACAGCTTGTATCAAAATATTTATAAAATACATTATAAATAAATATTGTATACAGCATGTCTTATATTTAATTATTTACCTTTACAGAATTTATGCTCATATGGAATTCCATCTTTTGGATCTACACCCTGTTAGAAGAAAAAAAGAGCAGAGTATTTTGATACCCATAAAGTGACAACACAAAGCAGATACCAAGAATTTCATCACTTTTGCATATTTTCATTCAGGAATGATTATATAATTATAAAGCTAATCTAACGTGTCTGGAGATGTATTTACATATTTAACTTTCTCATAACTTTTTTTTTGGGGTGGAGAGAGGATCTGTTAATTCTCTTTATTTTTGACAGGGGGTCCCAAAGAAGATTAAAATTCTTGCTGTGTCACTAGAGTTTGATGTCAAATCCAGAGTTAATCTGAACAGTATGTCATCTGGGAACTTTCAAGTGTTGCCATAACTAGAAGGAGGAATTTTAACATGCAGATGTTTTTAAGCTATGCTTATGAAAGCATTATGATAACATTCATGAATCCATTTCAGACATTTCACTAACATGCTTTCACAAGATAACTGAGGCTTTGGAGGGGGAAAAAGAAGAAAAAGCAAAGACACAAAACCAGAAAATACACATGCACAATTTTAGTCTTTCAGAGCCATAATTTGTAATATATTTCTACATTTTCGTCCCAAAAAATATTATTCTAATGCAAAAGTAACTGGAATTACTTGAGTGGGATTACTTTGGCTATCACAAATTGGCAAATATATGAGAACAGTTTAATCCAGTTAGAAAACCAGGTTAATATAATACTTGCAGATTAATTCTAATAGAGAAGAGGGAAGAAGTGGGAAGAAATTTCAATATTTAACTTCAGTTGCTTACCCATATGCCATTACAGTTAGTGTCACTTTCCACATCCCAGTTATGTGGGCTAAAATAGAGAGTTACAGAAAGAAAGATGACATTAAAAAAAGAATAAAATAGGGTTAAGGGGAAACATTTTGGGGAGTTCTCAAGAAAACTAGCTATTTGGGTCTATAAGAACATAATATCAGACCCTTGTGTCCACTGGGGTTCAACAAATTATCATGAAAATAAAGTATTTTAATGGAATAACTAGAAATTTCAGATTTTACCGATGTCTAGAACCCAATGCTAATAGCTGATAAATAACCTTTATCAAGATTCATGCTCTCAGCTACCACTAATATTATCTGGGACCTTTATCTTCTAGTTCATTAGGAGTTCAGATCTTATTCAAATAAATGAGGACCTGATCCAAGGCCCCTTGATATCAGTGAGAGTTTTTTTAGTGACCTCAAAGAAAACTGGACCAGCCCACCAGGAAGTGAATTAGGTCAAGCTCTTTTTACATTTGGGTCCTATCTAAAGCTTCCCCTATTACTTATGGCTGTAAAACTGATAACCTCTGCACAGTTGTATTTTGTGGCACAAAGGGATATAATTATGTCAAATCTTGGTTACTAACCTAGTTTAGAGGCCGTTTTTTGAAATATTCTAAGCATTCTAACATGCCATTAATATCTGTATACAAAACCATGTTAGCGGAAACCTTTCTTGAAATTATTTTATATTATGTAGTAAAGTAAGAGGCTGAGGGAACCTTATTCACACTTATAATCAGGTGTGTTTGCTGATGATTCCATGCACGCAAGTCTCAGTGATGTTACCAGGAATTATTTACTGTATCTACCTGAATCTAAGATGACTTCAAATTTAAGATGACCCCCAACAATTAAATACTATCTATGGAAAATGTATAAATTCATTATAATTTTACAGGTACAGAATCTAATTATCAGTCATCTTAAATTTGTCCCCACCACCTGCTCCCCACAACCTCTGCCCCCTTCCCTTACTACCAAACATGGCTCTGGCTCCATTCCCTTCCATGGCATGGAGCACATGGAACCAAGACACCTGCCTGGCCATGTAGCAGCATCCTAGGGCTGGAACTGCAATGCTGTTGATCGGCCAGACAGGAGACAGAGCCTCCATGTACTGTGTGCCCCAGGAGGGAATGGAGCCAGAGCAAGAGCTGGAGCCACAGTTAACAGTGTGTATGTATGGAGGAGGAGGAGCAGCTTCTTGGGGCCAGAGCCAGAGCTGCAGCATTCATCTGCTCCCTGCCCCACCTTATATCTATTATATATATATATAATATATATCCTTATATATCCTTATACTTAAATCCAAGATGAGGGAATTCCCTCCCCCTGCCCACCCCCATGCTGAATGAGGGAAAGAAACTCATCTTGGATTCAAAGAAATACGGTACCTCATTTGGGGAACATATCACTTACCTTGAATTTTCACCAGTGTTAACAAAATCAGGATATAGCCCTTTATCTAACCAGTCACTTCTGCTCAGAACTCCCACTAACATTGGTAAGAACTGTATATTTGGGCTGGCAGCTGTATCCACAAAAATCCATAAGATATTTATGCTTGTACCTTTTCCTCTTTCAATGGATTTATTTTTGCCTTTAGGCTTTCTTGTACAGCTACACTGATTTTAGTGGGAACTAATGAGTTCACATAAGGCAGGGGCAGGCAGAACAGGGCCTGTGGGTCAGATCCAGCCTGCCAGGTGATTCCATCTGGCTCACAGGGCTCCTCTGCAAACCAAAAGAATTATCCTGGCCTTCATGGCCCCTCTGAAAGCCAGCTCCTCCATGCAAGAGGTGCAGCTGGGGTTGTTAAGCAACCAACCCCCACCCCAGCCTGGCCTGACCTGCCCCCAGCTCTAAGGTAGGAAGCATTAGAGACAAGAAGCCTCTGCATGGCACAGGCTTTTGCCTGGTTGCCCCATGGCTGTCCCCCAGCCCTCCTTTCTGGGATACTGGAAATTCAGGTAAGGATTTGGGTGGGAGCATGGAAATGTGCGCTATAGTGCTGGGTGGGGCTGGCCCTTCTCACTGCTATCATGTGTGCCCAGAAACTTAGGTGGGAGTGCAGAAATGTGCACTATGGGGCTGGGTTGGCTGGTCCCACTTCCTGCCACCATGTGTGGCTGGGGAATCAGGCAGGAAAGCAGAAATGCCTGCTATGGAGTCAGGTGGGCTGGTCCCCTCACTGCCTCTATGTGCAGCCAGGGAATCAGGCAGGAGTGTGGAAATGCATGCTGGTCCTGCTCACTGCTGTCACATACAGCTGGGGACTTGAGTGAGAGTAGTATTGGGCTGGGTGCAGTTGGCCACACTTGCTGCGGCCACATGCAGCCTGAGATTCAGGCGGGAGTGCAGAAATGGGTTCTATGGGGCTGGAAGGGCTGGTCACGCTTGCTGCTGCCACCTGTGGCTGAAGACTTGGGTGGGAGTGCAGAAGCTGTGCACTTTGGGACCAAGCTGTGCGGGCCCCACTCCCTACAACCACATGAAGCTCTAGGGACTCACATACTCCAGAGGCTCTGAGGACCCACCCCGCTGCCCCCACACACACCCATACCCTCCCACACCTCCCACCCTCACCGTACCCTCACACACACCCACACCCACATACTCCCATACTCCACACACCCCACCATATCTCCACACACACCCACAGTCCCCCACACACTCCCACCCCCTCACTCCACCACACCTCCACATGCTGCCACAGCACCCACACACACATAACCCCCACCCCAACCACATACCCCAGATCCACACCCCTGCACATCTACACATGCACCCCCCACCCTCCCCCACCATAACCACACACCCACCCACTTCCCAACCACACACTCCCTTACCACCCTCCTACACAATATACAGGAGTAAGACTGTATTTTGAACTATTATTCAATTGCCTCTATATACACTGTGCAAATCAACATGAATCAGAACAAAATCTTTTTTTAAATAACATTAAAATATGTTATAGTAGATGTTTGATTTTTTAGTGTATGATTTGTTGGCTTCTGATTCCAAGATGGCAACCTCTCCCCTCCCCCACCAAAAGGGGAGTAAGAGGAGGGACTTCAGGTGGCAAAGGTCAGGGGTTAGGATTTCAGGTCCCAAGATGGTGAACATGGTGGTATATGGAATGTACCTTTTCTGAGTGGAAAAGATCATGTTCAGGCGGAGGAGTGAGTGTCGTGGCTCTAGAAAGCAAATCAGCCACCAGCATGTCTTTGCCTTTGGTATGGTGAATCTGGATGTCATTTTTTTGGAGCTGCATCAGCGTCTTCTGTAGCCATGCCGGAGCCTGTCCTATGGGCTTCGCAAAAATTGCTTCCAGGGGTTTGTGGCCTGACTGGACCCATATGTGGGTGCCATACACACATGGGTGGAACTTTGTCATGGCAAAGACAATTGCCAGAATTTTTTTTTCAATCTGCACATAATTTCTCTGGGATTGTGTTACGGTCCTCAAAGCATATGTGATTGGTTGATTCTGCTGAAACAGACATGCTCCTAAGCAGTCTTTCGATGCATCGGCTTGGATTTCCAGCTACTTTGCTGGGTTGAAGTACCTGAGCACAGGTGCCATTGTGATGGTTTACTTGAGCTTATCCAGGGCTGCCTGATGCTTGGGTCCCCTTTGCTAGATAACGTCATTCCTGAGAAGCACTCTCAGTGGGGCCGTCAGGCTTGACTCACGTGGAATGTATTGCGCCAAGTTCTGAATGGTTTGGAGGAGTCTCTGAAGGCCTTTTTGTCTGTTGGAGGGGGCATCCTGTTGATGGTTTCCATTTTGTCATTGTCTGGTTTGACACCATCTTTTGAGAAGATATGGCCCATATACGAAACACTGTTGACTAAAAGCTGTATTTTGTCCTTATTAAACTTTACTCCTTTCAGATGTGCTCTCTCCAGGACTTGTTTCAGGATAGTGTCATGCTTCTCTTTGGTAGCCACTGCAATGAGCATGTCATCCGCAATTATGTGGATTCCTGGAATGTCATCAACGCACTCATAATCCGTCTGCTGGAATACTTCGCTAGCTGACAACGCCAAAGGGAAGGTGATTTAACACCCATGGGGTGTTAAAGGTACACAGCTGTGCTGATTCCTTGTCCAATTTGACTTGCCAGTAGCAATCCTTTTCACCAAGAATGGTGAACAGCTTTTTACCTGACAAGCTCTTCTGCACATTTTCTACAATGGGAATCAAAAAGTGCTGCCTCAGCACTGCCTTGTTGAAGTCTGGTGGGTCTAGGCAAAGTTGTAGCAAACCATCCTTCTTTTTTGTGATCACAAGGCTATTGACCCAGGGTGTGGGCTTAGTGACCTTTGTAATGATTCCCATAGCTTCCAGCGTTTCCAGGGCAGGCTTCATCTTGCCTAGGGTTTCATAGGGAATTTTTCTACACCCATGCACAACTGGTGGTACCGCTGGGTTGACATAGATGTGGTGGGTACCAGGAAATTGGCCCCAACCTTCAAAAACATCCGGGTATAGTTTAAGAAGGTCCACCTTGGTTGCAGGTGCTGTCAGAGCCATTCCATGGACTCATCTGATAAGGTCTAAGGTGGTGCATGCCACCCTACCAAGCATTGGTGGGTCTCTATTGTCTGTTATATAAGAAGTTAAATTAGATTCATTAGCACCAGATTTGCAGTGTGCAATGATTGCACCTTGTGGTTTGATGTGTGCACCGCCAAATACAACCAATGTAACAGGAGCTGAAGTCTTCTATACTTTGCCTTGCAAAGCCTTTGCTACATCTGCTGGAAAAGTGTAAAGCAACTGGCAAGCCAGCAATCATGACTGTGCTATACCAGGCCTTTGGGTTATCAAAGGTCTGTGAGTGCTACCCATATATAGGGTGCTGACTCCTTTTCCAGGCTTTGGAGCCTCTCCCTTTGATTTGCACATTTTTGCAAAGTGGTTCACTATTGAGCATTTGTAACAAGTTTCTCCAAAAGCTGGGCAGGACTGAAGCTTGTGTGTACTTCCACACTTTTTGGAGGCTCTGCCTTTGTTAGCTTGATTGCCCTCCTGTGGAGCAAACTTCACTGATGGCTTGCTTTATTTTTGCAAAGTGCTCTGGCGGCTTTGCTTTTGCTCAACAGTATGCAAGCTTGCTTCTGCAGACATAACTCAGGCCTGAGCATTTGTGAGAGCCTTTGCTTTGCAGATATCCACAGCCTGTGCTAGGGTGAGGGAGGGATTTTCCAGAAGCTTTTCTTTGAGTTTGCAGTCAGTTATGCTGAAGACAATTCTGTCCCTCAACATAACATCCTCAGCAAGTCCAAATTCACAATGCCATGCTCTGCTTCTGAGCTCTTAACAAAATCATCTATGCCTGCAGCCTCATTGTATCTAAGTTGCCTGAGCTCATACCTTTCGAAGACAGGGTTTTTTCTGGGTTCACACTAATTCTTGAATGCTGCAAGCACCTCTGTTATTAGGGTCTGCAAACACCCCTTGCATGTTGTTGTAAATTTCTAGGGCTTTATCCCCAGTGCAGTGAAGCATGACTGCAATTTTATAATCCTCTTCCTCAGACTTTATGACTGTAAGGGATAATCAAAGCTTCTGTTCCCATCTCCTCCAATTCTTTCCAAGATTTCCAGTATAGGATAATGCTGGGGCAGGTTTGAAATGCTCCATTTTTTTTCTTTGAATGAAAACTGTAACCCCCTTAATCAGGATGCTGGTGACTCCACTGGGAGACAGGTCACTTCTGTAATCATATAATGTTTACTCCATGCCTTTAGGTCCCAGGGATGCGGTACTCACTCAGACCTCCATGCCCTTGGGGTTCTGTCCTCAAGTCACTGTGCAGCAGAGACCGGTGGGGTGGTAAACAGCTTTATCTTTATTAGGAACAGCATTGAGCAACTCACATGCTCACAGCTTGCAGGGAAAACTACAACCACCCACCACCACAAACCATAGGGCACTGGGGGAGAGACTGGGTCATCCCACTGCTGGGCCCTTAAAGGTACATTCCATATACCACAACCACAAAGTGGGGCACCTGTCAAGGGGAGGGGCTACCCTTGTGGCCCTCAACAGCTCACCAAAACCCGTTAAGTGGCCCTCCAGCCAAAATAATTGCCCACCCTGATCTAAGGGCAAAATGTATACGGTGCCCCTTCCACATTGAAGTCTTAATGTACCCCACTGTGTGATTCAAATAGCTGCATAAGCAGATGTGATGGGCTAGCTGGTAGTGATTTGGCTCGGGGGTTTTGAAAGGGTAGGGGTACATCTTGGAGTACCACTCGGGTTACACATAAGTATTTCCAGCTTCTAGTGAATATGGAACAAACAGAGAGCAAATTTGTATGGTAGCTTGTACATTTCCTCCTCCCCCTGCCTAATAGGGTCATCTGAGCTCATTATTTACGCTGCATATATTTCAAGGACTTAACCAAAATAGTAAAATTTTGATCTCAGAGTTGATATTGTAAAAAAGTATCAAAATATTTACCGTCTACCAGGGTACACTGTTGCATTTCCTTCATTACAGTCTCTGCCTCTCCAGTGATATCCCCTCAATGTCTAAAGCCAAGAGAAGGACAAATAGAAGGCAAGGCATGTTGTTACTCTTTCTCTTTTAATTTCAAATATCTAAAATGAGAATCAAACCTATGGTGCAGGAATAAAGCCTGGTAAATGAATTCCCTTCACTAAGCTCTAATAAATGACACTGCTTATTTTGATGAGTGAATAAGACAAGCTGGCAATTTTAATTTTTTCACACTTGCTTTACCTTTTATTAATTCAATAAACATACTAGTCAGCAGCAGAGCAATCTGATTCTGGAGACAAAGCAGCTTTAAGCCTAAATCTCCAAAAATGGTAAAAATGAACGAATCTCCCTCCTCTTCCAGAAGAAAATTATCTTTTATAATAAAAAACCCTTTCATTCTATGTCTATGCCAAGTTTTGTATGAATGAATAAGGTTTGCAAAAGATAGAAGGAACTTCAGAGAGATTTTTGCTATCAAGGGATTATAACACCAAAAGGAGAACCTTTACTTACTGGGAAAGCACTAAATTTATCTCCATCAAAGTCTTCAAATGGCAACTGATTTTTTATGGCACTGTAAAAAAAAAAATAGGGAAGGATTTTTTTTCCCCCCCAGAAACAAAAAATGCAGTAAAGAATTCAGAATATATAAACTGATTGCTGATAGAATATTACTTTCTAACCTGGTGCTCAGATATAGGCATTTGCATTTCTGTTTATTGAATCTCTATAAAGGACCAAATTCTGATATCAGTTATTCTACACGTAGTTCTGGAGGTGAGGTTATCAAAGGTATATTTGAGGTATCTGACCCTATGCCTCTAAAACAAGTTACCAAGTCACATCTGTTGGAAGATTAGCCTAATAATTTCAGAACCATGAAAAAAGGACAGTACACTGCTCTTGCAGTTTTCTCCATTGGAAGCGTTCGTTAAAGTCAACTGACAATATATATGTGAAAGAATGGCAGAATGGGACGGCAAGGATAAACCAAGGAACATGGAAAACAGAAGAGAACTTTTTCCTTCAATAAAAAAAATAGAGGGCAAACATTTTCTCTGGTATCCTTGTGACAAATCTCTCCCTGCATACTTGTTTGGTATGGAAGAGAGAACATTTCCCATGACATTCATTTCAGTTTACATCTACCCAGTTCACAGACCAGTTTTGCTTCAGTGAATGCCCATTTTCTAAGACAAATATGGGTTTTCCACAAAGGGCCACACATGCAGAATTTGTAGGCATGCTACAGAGACCAGCGTTTGAAAAGTTACTCAGTTTTAGCCTGAGTTCCTAATTTTGTTAATAGCAGAGAAAGACCTCCATCCAATCAAAGGCCCAATTTAGCTTCATCTTACACCCTGTGCAAACCCACTTACTTCACAGGAGCCTCAAGGAGTGTACATCAGCACTGCTTCTTACCTTAAAGGTGTAGTTTATAGCGCCTTGAATTTTAAGGATAGAAGGAGCCATCTTGATCATGTGATACTATCTTATCTATAACACAGGCAATTGAATTTCACCCTCTGATTCCTGAACCTAGCCCACTGATTTCTGGTTGAGCTCAAGTATATTATTTTAGCAAGATCGCTAATCTTTATTTAAATTCTCCAAGTGGCAGAGAATTTAATCCTCAGCCATCAGGCGGATTACCTTCACTGCTTAACAGTTATATTTTATTTCCAGTTTGAATTTTACTGACTTCAGCTTCCAGCTATTGGATCTTAAGATGTGTACCTGAAAGTAGACATGAAAATGACCCTCAAATGAATCAATGTGGCATTTGCCTAGCTGGTTCAGTTTGCCATCATGTGAGCTTTCCTTCTTCCCCTTCCATGATTAAGGGGGAATATCATGAGAGTTTCCTTTTAGATTGCAGTAATGCAGAGTTGGCACAGGGTCTTTCTCAGTTTTACTGTCACATATGTTTCGCATTGTCCCTCTTCTCCCCCTCCCCACACACTTTCACTTTCCTGAAAATCATATGCAATCATCATTACATCCCCCCTCGCTGTGGTCTAGGGAAAACAGATCAACTCTCATGTACTGCTTAGCAGATGGTGTTCTTGGAATAGCATGCCTGGTGCCCTTCCTTTAGCAGGTTAAGCATGTGACCTTCAGAGATTCTCTGAGCTCTTGGACCTCTGAGACTAAATCTGGGTCATAAAGACAGGCCTGTACTACTAGCGGAGGTGGTTTCAGGTTATTTTATCTCCCCAAACTGAAAAACCAAGTCATACATATTTCAATTTGTACTTGTAATGCTGCTTTTCTCTGCACTCAGTACTTTCAATGTACTTCCTGCTTTGTGCTAGTTCAGTCTCTGTGACTAGTTTCAGTTGTAAGGAACTGGCACAGATCCAGAACAAGCTAAAAAAGGGGAAAAAAAATCTGAGGCTCTTTAAAAAGAAAGAAAGAAAGAAAAAAAGAGTTGAACATAGTTGATTTAACATTTATCTGCCAGTGTGCACATATATGTTTTGGCTTTTGTTACAGCGATTTAGCCCACGGGGTTCAATCACCGAGTATACTTGCATTTTCTTATTTCTTCTGTCCTGGCTCTCTGGATTTGATAGACTCTCGAGAAATTTCCTACATAAATTTACCCAATTTCCAATGCTGGTATTACTTATAAGAGTGGAATGTGTGGCTACACAATTTGTGCTGGGAAATCAAGTTAGTCTAAAAATGCCACAAATGTTTCCCTTTGTGTACTAGATAACCTCCAGCCCATAAACTGCCTACATTGACAGATATACTCTGTTGTCTAGCGGTGCTGTTCAGTTGTCCTAGATCCTTTACTGGGACTCTGGCTGTAAGGTCTGTGTAACTGAGTCTTTCCCTTGCCCCTGGCCTTACATGTTTCTTAAAAATCTGGGGATTTACCTTTTGCTCTGCAAATGATATTTTATCCTAACTGTATTCACATGCCAGAAAGGATATCTAGCTATTATATCCTGTGATTAAAGGTGAGTAAGTCTTTCTCTGAGAGGGCAGAAGACACCATAACTGGGTGAGTGACCAAGATGGATACGTTAAATCTGAGCGCAAAAGTGTTTCTGGCTCAGAAACATGGCAAGCTTGGATGGGGAGTTGTCGAACACCACTACTTTAGGGCAGCCAATGTGTGCCCCCTCTCAATATCACTGCATTTTGTATTAAAACGTATTAGAAATCACTTCCAGCATCTTTCTTTCAAAGGTTAAATGCACCCTACTCTCCTTTTAAAATATTGTTTCTGAAGGAAAACAGTATTTTTATCAAAAGGATAAGGACAAAGCCCTTTTTATTCTAAGGATTAATTCTTCAGTCATTGGAAAGAAACAAGTGTGCCATATTTTATTAAGGATTGGAAATATCAGACTTACTATTTAATCTTCTCACACAGCTTAACCAGGGGGGGAAGTTTACATACACTTGAAAAAACAGTTATACTTTTCTGCGGAAAGAAAACAGTGCTTTAGTTCAAATAGGTCAAATTCTTTCTCCCTTCTCATGGTAATTAATGTCAGTGAAATGAAAAGTACATCACATACTTGCTTCCCCATAACATTTGAAAGCCCCATAGACTTGATTAAAGATGTTATATAGCTAAGGACAACATTTAAACTTGACAAAGGATTCAACTCAAGGGCTGCAAATGATCATAGATTCATAAAATTAAAAGAGATAAAGATTCCCCTGGGGAATATCCCTATCATTACCAAGATTCTTCATTTTTAAAACATTGCCTTTCCTACTGTGTACTGTGTCTTGCACAAGACCAGAGCAAATATGCACTAGGAATTCTGGATTTTCTCACTGAACATAGAGGCTGGACCCTGCATGCTCAGTCACAGTTTTGAGTGACCAAGTAATATAGTATCAGGCTCAATCAGGGGTTGATTTATGAGACTGGATACGTGCAGGATGCTTCCCTTAATTTTTAGTGGGATTTTTTTAGCTGGAATCCCACAGCAAGGTTTTACATGAGCCCTGTTTTACAATTTGTAGAAGTGTGCGGGAAAGTAAGTAATAAAGGTGGTGGTTTAAAAATTCAGCAAGTGGAGACTGGCTCAGTGTGCTAAGTGGGGGCAAGTATTTGTCCCAAGGAGATATCAAGAGTATAAAATTGAATTTAATTTGAATAGAAAATCGGTCTGGAGAAGAGAGAGAAACCAGAATAAAGATGGTAGTAAAATTTGAGATTGTGAATGACATTACCTAGTGATAAGGAATATATGAAGAAAAGAAGGGGACCAAGGATTATGGAACTCCCCACAGGAGGACATACTGAAGGGCCAATTAGAGGTAAGGGGAGAACCGAGAAAGGACAGAAGTCAAGGGTAGATGAGGTTTCAAGCAAAATATGGCTAAGGTTTGAGTCATGACAAAGGAAGGTAGTTAGGGAGTTGTAGGAGCAGAAAGGAGAACTGCAAGGTATATTGTCCATTTCCTCATGGAAGAAATCATAGAAAACCACTGTGGAGGGCCAGTGGCCAGAGGAGGGAGTTAAAGATGATAAAAACCTGGCTAGGACTGATGATCTGGGTTGAGAGAAGTAGCAGGGGAAGCAAGTGTTGGTGGCGACAGAGGGCTATGGTTTTGGCAGGGCAGCCCATGCCATGGGAGAAAGGACACAAGAGTTAACAGTGGAAAGGATGCTTATCCCCTTATTGAGGGAGTCTGACTGATGAATCAGACCAAATCAAACCAATCCCACCCCTCTTTAATCACAGCTCTAGTAATTTGAACTCTGCAGCACTTAGGGTGCCTGTACACACCACTGGGTTTAATCCTCATTAAATTAAATAGGTTTATAAAATTTAAACTTGTTTATTTCAGAGCGTTGAATAAGTGTTTCCAAATATTAGGTTTTTGAATGAATTAAGCTTTAGAACATCATATCAGTGTTTGCATGTACTAGGTTTTTGAACGAATTAAGTCCAGTCTCCAGACAGTGCCACAGGACAGCGGGGCAGTCCAGTGCTGCTTCCCTCCCCCACCTCCTGGCCCAGGGTCCCCTGCCCTGCGCCCTGCTACAGAGCTGTGGAAGCAGAGAGCTGGCACACGATACAAGAAAAAAAAAAGTGGCAGCAATTCAAAAGTACAACCAATTCCAAGGGGTGAACTACAAAAATGTGAAAGCACCAAATGGTAGACAAAGAAGCTCATCACACATCTTTTAGTGCCTTTGTATTTGCATGCAACAAACCTATGGACGTGATGCTTTAATTCATGGTAAGCCAAACTAAACTACGTCTGAGGAGTTTTACTTTAATGCACCAGAAAGGCTCTTAAAGCATCTGGAAAACCTGCTTGTGTAAACAGTCACACCGGTGTAGTGCAAGAAAGGACAAAAAACCTGGCATGGACAAATGCTTGTCGAGGACACAAGTCGCTTTCATAAACTTTCAGGATCCTCTCAATCCAGATTTCAATCCACAGTAGGGTAGAAATATATCTATTCTACTGTGCTGAGGATGCAGCTTGATGGGACTGGGGTAAAATAAAGGATTGTCCAGGCCATAGTACATACCACACCATAGTGTGATATGTGCAAATCACGGATGTTAAACATATGGCCTGTGGGCTGGATCTGGCTCCCAGAGCACCCCCATCCAGCCCCAAGAGCCCCACCATCCAGGCTCCAGTGCTGCCGTTGGGGCTGATGAGACCCACATGGGACGTGGCATGCACCCAGATCTGACCCATAGGACCCCTTCCCCTCCCCCTTTCGCCTCCAACAGCATCCCTGATCTGGAGGCTGCTCCAGCTGAACTGGGACCTGTGCTGCATGTGGCATAGATCTTAGAGCTGCTGGAATGGGCCCTTTGTGACGCAGTCCAGCTGGAATGACCACTAGAGGTGTGTGAAGTAGGCCCTATTTGATTCAGTTTTGGATTTGGCCTGAACCAGGGACATTGATTTGATTTGTTGATTCGGATCATTGTCCCTGATTCAATTCGGCTGAATCTGAACCTGAAGATTAGATGCTGATTCAAAGAATCCGCAATTCAGACACAGACACAGTTTTAAAAGTTTTTTCTACATACCTTGAGGTACCAGCATGGGTTGTGAATGCTGCAATGCTGGGGCGGATGGAGTGTCCCACAGGAGTGCAGGGGACGGGGGAGGCTCCATGTGCTCAGCAGTGAACTTGGAACTGGACCGGAAATACTTCCGGCCCACTTCCGCTCCCCAGCAGATCCGGAACTGGACCAGACGTGCTTCTGGTCCACTACTGGATCTGTTGCTGAGCATGCTGGGGAGCCCCCTGCACTCCTGTGGGATGCTCCATGAGCCCCAGCATTAAAGCATTCACAAGCCGCCTGCTACCTAGAGGTATATAGAAAAAACATTTAAAGCTGTGTCTATGTTCGAAACTCTGAAGCTTTCTGAATCTCTCTGAATCGATTTGGAGGGTTCCAATTCGATTCAGAGAAATTATAGGATCCTCTGATTCAATTTGGATTTGGAGATTCAGCCACCAAATTGGGCCAAATCTCCTCCAGATCGAATCAGGGACCGAAGCCTCGCACAGCCCTAGTGACCATCATGTACAGCACAGCTGCTACTCTGGGATCTGTGCTGCATGCAGTACAGGTCCAGACTGGCTGGAGCAACCACTAGGTCAGGTATACTGTGGCAAGGAAGGAGGAAGAGGTTCATGGGCCCAATCCAGCATGCAGATCAGCTCCATGCCACTCATCCAGCCTACAGGGCTGAAGAAGTTTGAAACCCTTGATATAAATAATGTATAATGAACAGGGTGCTGTGACATACTCTCTCACTATTGAAGTAGTAATAATAAAATGGACGAAGGCTCAGTTCCATCCCACAAGTTAATATACTCAGCTGTTCTGAACAGTTCTAGAGGTATGAATATATTGTGTTAAGTTTTAATAATAAGTCTTTGCAAAAATATATTCTACTCTTAAAATGATTTTCCCCTTCAGGTCAAGATTTTTAACATCTTAAGACTTGTGGCACCTTCAATCAAGCTGTCAGCTTCTCAGCATCAGCCTAAGTCAGGATGTTCTGCAGTATGCAAAGCCTTTGAAGTTAACACAGTCTGATCCAAAGCTATTCTGAATAGACAATCCAGTGCTTCAAATAAATACATAAATAAATAAATAAATAAATAAATAAATAAATACTGCTTTTATCCTACTCACAGGCAAATTTAAGTCTAAACTTAGCTGTGAGTAGAATAAAAGCTCTTTGGATCATAGAAAAGTAGGGCTGGAAGAGACTTTCAGAGGTCATCTAGTCCAATCCCCTGCCAGAGGCAGCATCATTCCTACCCACACCATCTCGTATCCATCCATTGTCTAACTTAGTAGTAAAACTACCCAGCCAACCCTGACATAGCCACAAGGCATAACATCCTAATCTGCCACACGTAAAGCAGTGGAACAACAGTGATCAATGGGCTGATGCCACAAGAGATACACTTGAGAGATCCAAGGAAGAGGGCCACATCCCTCAGTCTGCTCCAATCTGACCATTTGTAAAAATTCTGTTTTGATCCTTAATATAGCAACTGGTCTAACCCTGCCTCCGGACCTGCTCTAACTTCTCCAAGCACTATTTAAAATTCAGAGCCCAAGACTGCACACAATGCTCTAGATGAGACCTAACCAGTGCTGACTAAAGAGGCACTATCACCTCCTGTATCTTGTACCTAATGCTTCTATTAATGTTTGCACCTAATGCTTCAAAACTGCATTTGCCTTTTGTGCAGCTGTCATACTGCAGATTCACGTTGAGTCTGTGATCCATCGAGACTTCTAGATCCTTCTCCACAGTGCTGTCATCAAGACAGGTGTCACCCATTTTGTATTTGTGCTTTTGATTATTCTTTCTGAGGTGTAGCACCTTGCATCTATCAGCATTGAACTTCACTCTGTTGGCTCCTGCCCAACTTTCCAACCTGTCAAGGTCTTTCTGAATTGTGTTCCTGTTCTTTAGTGCATTGGCAGTCTGTCCCAGTTTCATGTCATCTTTAAAACTGCTCAAGAAGCTTTCTATGCCAGCATCTAAATCATGAATAGATTCATTGAACAGCACTGGGCCCAGGACAGATCCCTGTAGAATTTCACTCTAAACTTCCTGCCATTCTGGTTTGGATCCATTTATACTTACTTTTTGCTTACAGATATTGAGCCAGTTGTCTATCCAACTCATAGTATTTTAATTTAGTTCACCTTTCTCCAATTTGTTTATGAGATCATGTGGGTCTTTGTCAAAAGACTTGCTGAAGTCCAGATGTGCTATATCCACTGTATTCCCTTCATCCACCCAAGTAGTTACTTTGTTGAAGGAGATCAAGTTTGTTTGGTGCAATTTGTTTTATGTAAATCCATGAGGGCTGCTTGTGATCAGCCTTTTGTCATCTACATACTTGCAAACAGACTTCCTTATAATATGCTCCAGGAACCTCCTGGGTATTGAGGT